ACTCTTCCAAATGTAGGCATTTTTACAACGCTGAGAACAGAGAGGGTCAAGGAAGGTTGCGCCTCCCCAGGCGGCAGCGCTTGGCTGGTGGCCTGTTACGGTGAGAAGGCCAGCTGTTGTCTCAGTGCGAGCGGGGGGAGTGGGGGTGGGGGGGGGGGGTTGATTCGTTCATCCTGAGAATGAGGTGTTAACCAAAACTGCAAGCGACCGCCAAACGTTGGCCCATCAACCTCGAGGTCCGACAGATTTCGACACGCTCGACCACGCATTCCGCAGGTTGCGGGAGGATTAGCAAATGTCAGAACTTCCTGGGCCAAACCAGAAGTTGAGACTTACATTACACCGCCAGCTAGCTACCGGATAAACTTCCAATTCATCCCACACACAAACTCCCGGCAGGAATCCGCTAATCACCTAAACTGGAATCCTCCTCCTCTTTCTTCTCAACGACTTGACTCATTGTGGCCACATTAAGTGACCACCAAGGAAGAGAAACTATTCCGATGGTAAAATTCATTCAGGATCCGGTTTCCACTCCTAACACCTCAGGTTACCCCAGCGACCATAAAAACAGTCCGCTTTTAGGAAAACCAACCGATGGAGAGGGTGACAATTCAGAGAGATAACGTGGAAGAATTATTAGCCTTGGACCAGAGGGAAGTTTTGTGTGTGAAAAGTAGAACACAGCTGTGACAAGTCTCAGTGAAACGCTTGGACCACAGGGAAGCCTTTGGCAGCAGTAGCCCGATCCATAAAAAAAAATTTGGTGGATGAGGAGCCAGAGGGTCACAGGTTTAAGGACTGTAATCGACCGTAGACTCAAAATCATCCGAGTACTTAAATCAAGGTCAGTTTCTGGAGAGAAACGGGCAAAGCACGGGACCAGCAGCTGGGTTGCGACACCTGGCCCGATTGATTTATCGCCCTGACAAGTTTCTGCAAGTGCGTGTCTATATGTTTTGTGAACGGGATTCTGTGTCCAGGCATGTAAAACAACAGTGTTCTATTGTTTAAAACGCAGGTGTCAAAGTCAAGGCACGGGGGCCAGATCCGGCCCCCCACACATCATTTTATGTGGCCCTCGGGAGCAAATCATGTTTGTCAACTTTTATGATTCTAGCTGAAATCTGTACCGAAATGTGAAATTGTCATGGGTAATAAATAACGTTGAGATTTTGCACCGACCCTCTGAGGGAAGCCGTGATTCCGAAGTGGCCCCTCACTTAGCCCTGACACGAGCAGACAGACAGAAGGCGAAAAACCGGGCCAGACCTGCCACACTGCTTGAGCATGAGGGTCAGGGGAGACTTCATCTTTGTCGCCAACGAGCGCCTGTCAAAATACAAAGACGACTGACACGATCGCAACTCTTCCAAATGTAGGCATTTTTACAACGCTGAGAACAGAGAGGGTCAAGGAAGGTTGCGCCTCCCCAGGCGGCAGCGCTTGGCTGGTGGCCTGTTACGGTGAGAAGGCCAGCTGTTGTCTCAGTGCGAGCGGGGGGAGTGGGGGTTGGGCCAAACCAGAAGTTGAGACTTACATTACACCGCCAGCTAGCTACCGGATAAACTTCCAATTCATCCCACACACAAACTCCCGGCAGGAATCCGCTAATCACCTAAACTGGAATCCTCCTCCTCTTTCTTCTCAACGACTTGACTCATTGTGGCCACATTAAGTGACCACCAAGGAAGAGAAACTATTCCGATGGTAAAATTCATTCAGGATCCGGTTTCACAAACAAACAAACAAAAAAAAATAAGAGAGCCAAAAGATCCTGCGAGCAACCAGTTAGAACTCGGCGTAAGGTTAAAGGAAGGACAACACACATTATCTTGCATTATTGCTTTCTGAAAGTCAGTCCACTAGATCTCATTCATGGTCTTAGTTCAATAGCAGCGATGGCGACATAGACCAACCAAGCAGTTGTGTTCTGTGGAAGGCCACACAAAGCACGACTAATCAGTGAAAAGTTAAATGCATGCAAGCTCGTGTCAATGTTTGAGTTCAAATATGCGCCACTATGGCTGTCTTGATGACCCCCCCTCCGATATCGTGGGCAGCAGCGTTACTCCCAACAATTGAGCCAATATTCCGAATACTCCTGTTTCATTGGTGTCATCGGATCGGCCGCAAGATGTTCCGCCAAACATAAGCCCCCTCGTCCTTCATGTTCTCCAGTTTAATCAGTCCAGATGTTGTGTGTCACTCTTGTGTTTCTTGGAAAGTGGATAAGCCGCCTCTGCTACTTTATTTAAGACCACAAATTAGCTCATATGAGCTTGATGAGAAGAACGTGAAATAGTGGATGATGAACAGGGCTCGTGCGGTAGCGCCAGACTCCCTCATGAGGTGTCACTTCCTCTCGTTGTGCTCCACTGGAGTCTGTTCGTCATCATCTTGACAGGAGTTGGTCCTCTGACATCTTCTACTTCTGCTGCGTCCGTGTACGTCCTGAACTTGCTGGAGACTTCAACTCTGACGGCACCAAAAAACTTGAGGCCGACTTTTCTACTCTGCTACATTTCATCCTCCACGAATGCACAGCGACCAGACGATGCTCTTCATATTTTGTTTTGCCATTAAAAGCTAAGCTAGCAGGATCGCTTCTCAAAAATCGTTCAGACTTTGATGTGGGGGACTTTCTCACGAACCAGAGGGATAAACGTTCAGGGCCCAATGCTCGGCAAAGTCTTGTGGACCACCGAACAAACCCAACGGTTCAATTACAGCTTCTTACCATCGGCCATACCCGCAAAGGGTAGAACCAAGTGCTACAAGAGTTTTGTACCTGCAACTACTCCGAGTTCCATCGTTCCACAATTCCCTTTCACACAGCTTCCATTCAGCATCTGGAACTAGCAAATGTATGTTGCCTTTCTTTGTACCATTCCACCAAGTGCTACAAGAGTTTTGTACCTGCAACTACTATTCCCTTTCACACAGCTTCCATTCAGCGTCTGAAACCAGCAAATGTATGTTGCCTTTCTTTGTACCATTCTATTTTGGTCTCTTTCACAAAGTTTGGAAAAGTCAGGTTAGACCGGCAGTGTGAAAGGTTACTAAAAGGGGGCGTAAGGATCTTGATTGGACAAGCTTCTCTCACTGTCACTTAGCATAGCAAGGGTGCGAATAAAGAAATCCTGATTATGGTACGACACTTATTGCGAAAACCCGCACTGATAAGACTTGTTTCCAACAATGAACAGTTTGCGACACTTTTTATTCTAAAATGGTGACATGACCCACCTCATGACACTGTTTATTTCTGACTCACTCAGATTTGATGCCTCATACAGCAGCCATCCATCCATCCATCCATTTTCTGAACCGCTTTATCCTCACAAGAGTGGCGGGGGTTGCTGCAGTCTATCCCAGCTGTCTTCGGACAGTAGGCGGGGGACACCCTGAACCGGTTGCCAGCCAATCTCAGGCAGGGCACACATACACAAACAACCATCCGTGCTCACAGTCACACCGAGGGACAATTTAGAGTGTTCAATCAGACATGCCATGCATGTTTTTGGAATGTGGGACGAAACCGGAGTACCCGGAGAAAACCCACACAGGCCTAGGGAGAACATGCAAACTCCACACAGGAAGGCCGGAGCCAGGATCGAACCCACAACCTCTGCACTGTGAGGTCGACGCACAAAGCACTGGACCACCCTATACAGCAGCCATTCAATGATAAAATGTA